AATACTGTAACTCGTAAAGAAAATGAACCAAACCAATTAAAAAAGGAAAAACGTCCTGATAAAGACAAAGATTGTATAGATTGTCTTGGATGTGGAGGAGTGTGTAGATTTGGAGAAAATCTTGGATTCTGAGGAATTTGTGGATTCTGAGGAGTTTGTAGATTCGGAGAAAATCTTGAATTCTGAGGAATTTGTGGATTCTGAGGTATTTGTGGATTCTGAGGTATTTGTGGATTCTGAGATATTTGTAAATTCTGAGGCATTTGTGTATTTTGAGGAATTTGTGGATTCTGAGGAATTTGTAGATTCTGAGGAATTTGTGGATCATGAGGAATTTGTGGATCATGAGGCATTTGTGGATCATGAGGCATTTTTGGATCTTGTGGATTTGATTGAATATTATTATAATGATATCCACCATATCCACTAAATTGAGGAGGATATTGTCCGTAATGATTCTGTAAGTATTGTTGATGTTGCATATACTGTTGTTGATATAACTGCTGTTGCATTTGGTTAGGTTGTTGAAGCTGAGGTGTATTATCAAATTGTGAAGGTTGAGGTTGAAAAGATGGACTTTGTGGCGAAGGTGGTCGTTGAGAATAATATGTATTATAGTTTTGGCTTTGTTGATCTTGGCAGTTGTTTGGTACGATACCTTTATCGTATTCTGTCGTTATTACGTTCTTGTTATCATTGGTATATTGATTTTCTAAAGCATTAGTAATGTCTTTTGTTACAGTAGGCAGAGGTTTTTGTGGTTTAGGTGAAATCAAAGGTGGAAAAGGTGGATCAGGAGTGGCCGAACGAGACTGTTCTGGTGTTAAAGAGTCAGAATACTCTTCGGACACTCTTTCGCTATGTTTCCTCTGAACATGGCTGGTTGGAAGCGGTCTCGGACCGATAACGGACCTTGTTCTAGACAAGCGCGTACCACTATCCCTGTTATTTGATATATTTTGATCGTTTTGATTTTTTTCGGTCATTCTATTATACCTTTTTTTTTTTATTATTAAAGAAAATATATATAAAATAATAAAATTGTTCGACTTTAACGACTTTGAAATTTTTTCAACGGTTTTGTGGCTAAAGAGATTGGACCATTTATATTAGTTTGTATTCAAAATCTTATGATACAGATTTATTTATATAATTCTGCATCTATCAGCTATCGAGTCGAAAGTACGTAGATCAAGGCCATATAAAATTAGTTTTTTGGTTCTCATTAAAAATGACCCGGCAACCCGGCTTTTAATTTTATTTTCAAAAAATTTTATATGTAATAAAACAAAATTTTTTACAAAAATTTTAAAAAGTTCACCCGGAT